CTTTTAAGAATAGAGTGATATCAAACACAATATCTATCTCGCCATTCACGAATCATCTGGTTGCTAAGGGCCACCATACTAAAGATTCTCCACAGTTTATCCGAATGAAACAGTTCCTTATAAATTTAAAAACCTATGGAGTACATTTTTTACTGAAACACTTGGTAAGAAATCAGAAATTTTTGCTCATGCCACATTGTTGCCAAGCATTTGGTACAATAACCCCACACCAAAGAACTGGCCAAAAAAGAAATATTGGAATTTCATCAAAAGCTTGCAAATCTGGTGAATCATATATGGTAGAGATTTGTCAAAACCCAGGGATTTCTCCAGGCAAAGGAGCCAACTCATTTTTGCCAAACCGATCTTCATCATAGAATCTGGCACGAACAATTCTTCCTCCAAAGAAACGCCCATCCAGTTCAATAAGAGCTTTCGTTGCTTCCTCTGCTCTCTCAAACTGGATGAATATTCGGACCGCTTCGTCGTGAGGGAAGTTTGGTTCGGTTATCTCAAATATAAGCACGCGTGTCACTGTGCCGAATTTCGTACACTCTTCTGCCACCTCTCCTTCTAGATCGTCGTCCACCTCACCGGGTCCCACCTGCAAGAAGACCCATAGGTTAACAGCAGTACAACCATAAGATAGAAATATGCTAACAATCTTCACACCATTGGAGAAAAAAAAGTCATAGGATGGGCTAAACAAACCTCTGTTAATTAAGGAAGATACTAACTCGAGGGTTAATAATTGAATTGGGTCAATCTGACTTGCTATAAATAAAGCATGTTCACACACAAAAAAGAAATTCCAAAGAATGAAAAATAAAGGAGAGGCATATGAAAACTGCACTTGTTGAGAAACTTGTTCAGTAGGATAAACCTGAATCTTTATGTAAGAAGAGGGCTTAGATTCCTTTTGAATTTCCCTTGAATGCAGTTAAGGGATATCATGGTGGTATTTGAATTAAGCCCCATTGTTATCCAATTTATACTCATGAAAACCCATCATAGAAATCTCTTGTCTCTGTAATCATGCTAAACTTGAAAGTCTAAGTGCCTATTCTCTTCGTCTGATCTGAATTTATTAAGGTTTGACAACCCAGATTAGACAAGATCAGATCTGATTTCCAACAGCTTTAACTTTAACTAGAATCATATCATAAATTCTGATCAGCCAAAGAGAACAAGCCCTAAACTGCATTTCAACTTACATCCCCAAAGGTTTCCTATTGTTACATTTTACAATGCACTATGAAACTACGAAGACTAGTAACCCTTAAGAGGAATTGGACAGTAGATGTAGCTAGATGCAAATCATGAGCATATGCCATACATATGTTCAACTGTAATCCATCAAACAAAAAAGGAGTAGATGTAAGGTCTGTGTATATCTTGGCCCCAACACCCTATTCTTGGGTCGTGATTGGGATATACTAAGTGTGTTTGGTATGCATAGGATTATCGCCTGATGGCTACTCTTTTCCATAGAAGTTGGAATAATTTCTTATTCTGTGCTACTGCTTTGCTTCTCATCAATACGGCTTAGTTCCAGAATACGCCCAAATAACAATCAATTGAAAAAGAATGAGCTTTGAACAAGCCATCCACAGAATATGCTCAATTCCCTACAACTTATCACCCGAGGTCTAAAAGGCAGAGAAACACAAGATATAAACTACATTCTACATGCAAAGCAACCACACTAGCAATCACAGTAATGTTCAAGACAATAACCAGGTTGAATGTTCTTTTCAACAAAGATAGAAAACCAAATACTAAAGAATGACAATGGAGACATACCATGTTCCTCAGCAGTACAACTCGGGTTGGTGGCATATTGAAAACGACACTCTTAACCTTCTTTTCTGGTTGTTTAACCTCCTCACTAGCTATAATCACCCCGCCTCTCTTATCGGTCTTCTTGGCCATCAAAGGAGTAGTAATGCCCTGTTCTTGCTTGCCGAGTCCCTGCCCTTCTTTCCAACCCATCTTTGCCATCATCCTCTGTGCAGCCGTCATCTTCCCTTCTGCTCCCATTCCCAACCCTAATCCAGCAGTGTCAGACCTTCCCCCAATATTGAACTCTCCGTTGCCGGGAGGAGGTGATGGTGACCTTGGCGCAGCACCACCTCCGGCGCTCATAGCAGCTCTTCGCCGCCATGCCTCCTCGCCGGAGAGGTTCAATTCCCTCTCTCGCTCCCTCTCCCTCTCCTTCTCTTTTTCCTTCTCCCTCTCCATCTCCCTCCTCTCCCTTTCCCTCAGCTCCGCCTGCATCAGCTTCCTTTTCTTCTCCCTCCTGTACTCCTCATAGTCATTAGGCCGGGCCGGATCGTACTCGTCAATGACGGTGCTGGTAATGGCCACCAACGCCGGCTGGAACGATGCCGGCGGATGGGAATTGGGATTAGGGTTAGTATTCTCGTTTGTCTGATTGGGGTCGGGTTTGGGGGGTCTGGGCTTGAGTAGGGTTTGAGGTCGGAGAGCAGTCTGGGGCGCGGCGAAGGGTTTGCGGAGGGCGGACGGGGCCATCTTCGCGGTGCTGCTGGACCAAACGCTGCCGGCGGCCGACTTCTCATCTTGCTCGGTAGAGGAAGACGGCGGTGGGAGATCGCCGAACAAGCCACCCACCATATTTGGTTACCCAATTAGAAAGAGATGGGAGGAATTCCGATTGCCGATTCCGGCGAATTGCAGTGAGGTGGTTTGGGTGGTGCTTTTCCCGGGTCGGGTTTTGCGAGGAAGACAACCCAGTAGCGGACTCCTTACAGCGCGTGGTGCTGATGTCAACGGCTGATGGTTTGCATATGATGTTTACTCAATATAAATTTTGAGTTTTAATTAAATACAAATTGAATATATATTTATTTACAAAATACAAATAATTTTTGTAGATTTATTTTAAAAAATTTTAAGATTTCATTTCATTATGCTAATATGCAACATAAATTATGAGTAATTAAAATTTAAATTTATCTAATTTGACTTGTAAAATTTAAATTGAACAAATATATTAGAACGGAAATAGTGTTGAGTAAAATTTGATATGAACAAAAAGTTATTTTTTATATCGTGATTCCAACTAATAAAATAAGTTGAAGAAGACAAATTATTGACATTGTTGACGATACGTTGGAAGGAAAAATGCTAAAATAAAAAATACATTTGAGCATATTTTTTAAAGTTAGAAAAAAGATAGATGTCCGAAAAACCTCAAGAAAAAATTGAAAGAACTTAAAAAATTATACTCCCTCCGTTCCTGAGTGTTTGTCCAATTTCATTTTTGCACGCCATCCAATGCACTTCTTTAATCCATTTTATCTTGTAATTTGTATATTAAAAAATTACAAAAATTATATATTAATAATCTATATGTTAAGACAAATCAAACAAGATCACACATGACTATTTTTAGGCTTACACATTGAGAGAATTTGATGAGTCAAAGTGCTTAGATGAACAGTTCCAAAAGTCAATAGTGGACAACCACTCAAAGACGGACCAAGTAAGAAACTACAGAAAGCTAGAAAAGTTGGAAAAAATTGAACAAATATGAAAAAACTTTAAACAACCAAAAGAACTAGAAAAAAAAAACTAAATGTAGCTGAAAAACTAAACAATATTGAAAAAAAGAAAAATGTTGAAATTAATTTTATACTTTAGAATAAGAAAAATGAAAAAAAGTTGAAATAGTCTTATACTCTATATATTTTAACTCCTTCTATTGTAGTTATTCATTATATTTTGTTATCCAAAGTTGTGTTTTAATGTTTGGGCCATTTTTTCTTTTTCATAATATTGTAGTATAATTATTATTTTTTAATTTAGAATATTGATATTTTCGCCAGGTCATTTAAGATTAATACAAAATATCATTTTTATCCATTATTTTTGAAACATATATTAGTGACATGTCAATTAATAAATAAAACATTGTATTATTAATTATTTTAAAACATGGAAGAAAAATAATAATTATTGTGAATCATAAAAATAGTCAAATGAGAAAAAAGTTAAAACGGAAAAAATGAAATAAACTATAAAATATAATTACTAACATAATAATAATAGAAATGATAACGATAATAATAACAATAACAATAATAATAATAATAATAGTAATAATAATAATAATAGTAATAAAAATAACATGAAATATAATTTTTCGAATTATTGTTTGAGAAACTAGAAAGAGTTTGAATAAAATGAAAATAATTGGAAAAAACAAGGAATCAAAAGAAACCGGAAAGAACTATAAAAAAGTTAGAAAAAAATGATTACATTTTTAATTGAAAGAAATGGGTGGAAAATTACATTTTATAGCCTGCATTGAACATATAGATTACACTAGAATTGACAGTTATCTAACCCTAGAAATGAACCAAAATATAAGAAATACGTTTGTAATGTTCCATCTGTCTCAATTTAAGTTTTCTATTATTATTTTCGAAGTTCAACTCAATTTATTTAAAAATTAATATGAAATTAAAAAAATACAAAGTAGAATTTATATATTTTAGAAAGTACATCAAAAGTTTATAAAATAGGAGGTGCTAATAAAATGTGGTTAAATAATAAACAAATAATTTAAACTGTGAGTCTGTGACTCGAGGAATAATTGATAAATAGTGACTAAAAAATATTTTAGAATAAATTCTATAATTGGTCTTTTATAACAGGGGGTTTCCCTATTTAGTCCTCTATTATCAAATATTATCCAAGTGGTCCTTCTTTTATGGGTACCTTTCCACAAATAGTCTTTTTTGATCTTCTATCATGTTGGTGTTAATTTGAGGGCTAAAAATATAATTTCACAATGATAATATATTTTTTCTGTCATACACAATCCCAAAGGCTGTTCCGTTTGCGTCGTTTGTGAATTACAGTCGTTTTTTACGACAACTATAGTCTACAAATGTGATCTTTCGTCAGAATTCTAGCCTACAATCATAGTCATTATTTTTGTGTTATCCGCTTAACCAATATCAGAACACGTCACTAGACATAATGTTGACGTCAAATTATACTTTTATCCTTTAAATTAACACTAACACGACATAAGTTCAAAAAAAGGACTATTTGTGGAAAGGTACCCTTAAAAAAGGACTACGGGAGTAATATTTAATAATAGAGGATTAAATATAAAAACCATCTGTTATAAAGGAACAATTATAGAATTTATTCAATATTTTAAAAATAGGGAGTAACTTAGCTTCATAAATTATGAGAATTAAAAAGATAATACTCCGTAGTTCTCATATGCAGCGGATGGCAGCTCCTGGTTTCTTCAGAACTACTCTCTTCCCGTCCTTCTCCTTCACTGCCGCCATTTCAATCTCTCCCACTCAACCCAGCTCCTTTCTCCTCAAAGCATCAAATGTAGACCTATCTTCCCCCATTCCTCGTTTCTAATTTCATCTTCCCCATAAAAAATGTCTTTTTCCCTCTGCTAATTGATCTCACAAACTTCGCATCAGTTTCTGATTTTTCTTTTTGCTCGATTACAGATGGAAGGGAGTGAGATTAAAGCGGAAGAGGAGGCCGGAAGCAGCCATAGGAAGAGAGTATTTGTTGCAGGTGCCGGCGGGAACACCGGGAGGAGGATAGTCGAACAGCTTCTGACAAAGGGGTTTTCTGTCAAGGCCGGAGTCCGGGATGTGGAGAAGGCGAAAACAGGCTTGCCTTTAGGAAACCCTAATCTTCAATTTGTGAGTGTCAAATTAGTTATTCCATTTTGCTCTTGAATTTCCCTACTTTCTACTGCTGCGAATTCAATACTCCTGCCAATTGGTTTTTAGATAGATTCTCACGATTCTACATAGAGGTTGCTTGGAAGAGCGGTAGATTGTTGAAAAAACAGAAGTTGTCAAAGCAGAAAACAGATATTTTTAACTTTGCTTGAGCCCATTTTAGACTGTAGAAGTCATAATCTATAAGCAGAAGCAAATTAGCAAAAATGACAAACACTATTTTAGTGAAGCAAAAGCTCATACGGAGTAAGTAGTTTTTAAACGCAATCCCAAACGCCCTCATAATATCAGAGCCCAGATTTGAAATTAAGCTCATGTCTATTCGAAAAACAAGTTGTTCTTGAGGGATGTTGTTGAGGATATTAGTTGCTCTTGCTCCTCAAAAACTCAGACTAGAGGAAAGACTTATATAAGAATATAAGTTACTCCTTCCATTGTAAATGAATTTTGGGATGGGTTCTCGCAAATCTAAAGTCACAAATCTCACATCGTCATTTTGTTAAAAATAAATGTTCACACTTGACCAAACAAAATTTGCACATGAGGAGTGTGTTATGATATCCTCCGCAAAGCTTTTCCTTAGTTTTTAACCACAAGTTTAAGCTGGTGGTTGAGTTGGTTCATTTACAATACTATTGTCTAGACAGGATGTAGCCAGAGCTTGATAGGTGGTTGTAGAACAATGCTTGCAATGAAGCTAAATTACTGTGCCTGCTTTGAGGATCAAAGCATTAGAGCTTTAGTACTCCACTCTTGGAGTATGACTGTCTATCAGCCTATACCAATGAAAGCATCAAACTCACCTTCTTTTTTTTGCAAGTTACTGACCACACAAACCTGTGTGTTTCCATGCACAAATTACCATCTCTATCACCCGCTCCACTAAACAAGCTCACCTTGCCGACTAGCAAGAAAACTGGGTCCTCGGTTTTCACCATCACATCCGCTCAGATCATTCACTCATTTTACCCAAATGTAACTCTACCAACCATGTTTGTAAAACATATAGAGCTAATCAAGTGTTAAAGAACCAATTCAACCGCAAACTCAAGTTTGTGGTTGGAGCCCATGTATAGTTTTATGCTCTTTCACGCCACTCACATGCAACTGGATTTCTTATCTCAAACCTTGACGGTGAACATTAATTTTTTTATGAAATTCGGGTGGCGGTGAGATTCGGACTCATGTTCTTCGGTCAACAAGGCTCTGATACCGTGTTAAATAACCAACTCAACCACAAGCTCAATATTGTGGTTGGAGCCCCATAAATATTTTATATTTTTTTATTTTTACATTAGCATTGCATTGGTGATTAAGAGAGGGATGGATGTTAAGGACTTATTGGTTTTTTTTCACTTGCTGAATATTTATTTTCAGGTAAAAGCTGATGTAACAGAGGGATGTAATAAATTAGCAGATGCCATAGGTGAAGATACAGATGCAGTGATATGCGCAACGGGGTTTCGGCCTTCATGGGATTTATTTTCTCCATGGAAGGTGAGTAGGGTGAATACTTACTGCTATTGATGCCTTGAACTTTGTAGTTACCTTCTTCTTCAAAGTTTCATGCAGATCCTCCAAAAGACAGTCATAAGAAGTTAATAATGCAACAAATATAAGTGCTATTGTGTGTTCTACTCATTTTTTACTCGACCCTGCAGTCTAATCCCTGCACATTGATTGCTCCTGCTTATATGCATGTATGAAGGGGTGAATGTACTTTGGGTGCAACCTGAATTTTTAAAATCAGAAACAAGCCTAAACAATATAATAAAGGTCGGGTTTGAATCATGTTGGGTCAAACCCAAGTTCCTACCTAAGACAGCCAGAGGGCTGGCGGCAAGGTTTGTTGGAGGGGTTTGGGGGAGGACCGAGTCCTAGGCCCAATGGAGCACTGTAGGTCCCCGTGTAATATTAAGGGACTGTAATCTTGTGTCAAAAGAATCGTAGTGAACTTTGTATTACACCATGTGACCAAAGTTTGTAATTTATAAATAACCTACTCTGTATTTCAATCGAAGATTCTTTCTTATTTTCCACATCTGTCCCAGTTTGATTGTCGGAGTGTGTTTATCCAGATTGTGTTTGATATTTTACCTTCGATCATAATTTAAATAAAAATTGTATTGCACATTTTTACAAAAAGTGATTCAATTAGACATATCTTGTAAAATGTTTTGAAAAAGTATTTTATTTTATTTTATTAATATGCAATAATACTCCTTCCTTCCAGACCCTAAGACCCTACTACACTGGGATCCAACTGGGTTGTTGTTGTTGTATAGTACTCCTTTCGTCCCAAAAAATCCTCACTCTTTCTTTTTTCATTCGTCCAAAAAAGCTTAACTTTTCTTTTCTAACCACTCTTTTTCTCTTTTCAATTTTTAATCTCCGTGAAATCAAACAGGAAAGTGTTTATAGGACAAAGTGTATTGATTTAATGGATCATCAAAGTTTGTCCAGTTTAACTACAAAAAGTCAAATTGGGCAAACACGCTATGACAGACGGAGTATATTTTTGTGACTATTTGTATCAGTTACAGTCTTACAGATACACTAATGGTCATATACTAATCTAATTACAAGCTACTCCACTGTGACTGTCCACATATGGTCGTCTATTTAGAGTATATATATAGAAGAAAGAAAAACAACTTGAACCACATAAGCATTTCTTAAAGGGAAAGAGAAAATAATTTTGGAACAGATGAAAAAAAGAAACCCTGGAGATGTATTTGTTGCACTATCTTATTGACTTGGCCTAAAATTATTTATTTATGAAATTTAGGGGCCGGATAGCCCAAACCCACACATTCCCACTCGCACCATAAATGCATCAACTCTTTGTTTTGTTTTGTTTGAATATCTCCTAAAATATTGTGTTACAACATTTTATGGTTCGAAACTAGGGATCGAGTAAAAAAACCCAACATATGCTCAGTCTTACTGAATGGCTTCAACGCTCTGCTCACTTTCATTTTTCAGTAGTTTCATCAGTACATTCCATTTTGCAGGTGGATAACTTTGGAACAGTAAACCTTGTGGATGCATGCAGAAAATGCGGAGTGAATCGGTTCATCCTTATCAGTTCAATCCTAGTAAATGGAGCGGCAATGGGGCAGTTGCTCAACCCATCATATGTCATTCTCAATGTGTTTGGCCTGGTATTGATTGCAAAGCTACAGGCAGAGAAATATATAAGGAGATCTGGGATCAACTACACCATTATAAGGCCCAGCGGCTTAAAAAATGATCCTCCTAAGGGAAACATAGTCATGGAACCTGAGGTAATTGGAGTTTTTACAGCTTAAGTTCCCTTTTAGTAGAAGGTAAATTCTTTTATAGACCCAAGGTCCATATAAGGAACATGGACATTCCCACATTAGCAATAAATTATTATTCTGAGAGGCCCCCCGAAAAAACCATATACTACAACATTCACACCCAACACCTAGTATGACTATACAACTCTAATATGATGTCTAGAGGTTCTCCTATTAGCATTTTAACCAAATGTACCGCATAAAACAAAAATTAAAATCTTCATTTTCAATTCATACTAAAACAACAAGAAATCTAGTAAAATCTCATGAATTGGGTTTTGGGGATTGAGGGTGTGCATACACAGTCCTTACTTGTGAAGTAGAGGGACTCTTTCAAGAGACTCCCAACCAAAGGAACATGGAGAAACATGTTATTCCACGAAATTTTTTACTAAGGCCATGTCTGGGAATAATATTTTCAATTAGTGTTATCATTTTGAATTATTTTTAAAGGTCCAGATTAAGTTTAAAAATGTTAAAACTAAACACTACCATTATATTACCCTTTTTTTAAAAGATATTAAAGCTAAATGCTGAAGTGGTTATGAGTGCGTTCTGAACATGGTTGCAGGATACACTCTTTGGTGGTTCTATATCAAGAGATCATGTTGCTGAAGTTGCAGTTGAGGCATTGCTCCACCCAGAATCTCACTACAAAGTGGTCGAGATCGTTTCTAGCACCGAAGCCCCGAAGCGCTCTTTCCCAGAGCTTTTTGGTTCTATAAAACAGCGGTAGCTTCGGCTACCCGTGTAAAGAATGTGTAAAAATGTAATCTTGGAAAAACCCTTCTTTCTCAATAAACTAAGGTTATGCTATTAGCCTTTGGATGATGTTGTTAAGTAAGCCTTCAATGTTGTTATACATAGGTTTTCTGTAATTGATGTTCGTTTTGGGGGTCTTACAATTTGGCCTAGTTGAATATAATCAAATTTCAATCTTCATAAAGTGGCATTCTTTTTGGAACGTAAGGTGTATATGATTCTTTATCCATTGCTAATGGAACTAAGAGAATCATTATAATTTCGGGTACATAATGAGCCAAATCAAAGTGAAATACTCCCTCCGTCCTAAAATTAACTTCTTATTTGACTTTTCACGGTCTCCAATGTGACACTTTGACTACTAATATCTTAATTTTTATATAAATATATTTTATAAAATTATATATTTCAAAACTATGTTTCAAAATGAATCTATTGCTAATATATGAAAATTCAATGTGTTTTTTCCGTAATATACGGTCAAAATTTAAAAAGCTTGACTACAATAGTCAAACTGGGAAGATAATTTTAGGACGGAGGGAGTATTTAAGAGAAATAAATTTGGATAGTAAATGCAATGGCACATCCAAAGTCTAGCAGATTTTTTTCTGAAAGGATTTTAAAAGATAAGATTGTGCATGTCTTGACTTCTACGTAGCAGATTCTAACACAGTTGAGATTATTTTGATTGTTGTAGGTTTATACGGTTCTCCAATACAAGTACAAAGTTGTTGCGTGAGTTTGTTTAGACCTTAGAAAAAAGTAAATTATTATATTATACATCTTGATGTACAATGTTTATTATACATCAATTCTATGTACAATTATAAGTTACGTAATATTCATTTCGCGCATTTATCATTTCAGTGTGTGTATTATAAAATTAGGGTATGGACATTTACGAGTTGTGTAATGCTAATTGGATGTAGTATTACAAAACAATTGGTATATCTAGATGTACAATATATTTTGCCAAGAAAAATTTGACTAAATAAAAATGAGCAAATATAATCGAAGTCATTTTGGGTCGATAAAATTTAAGTTGAACTAGTTAATCAATTGAACTCAATCTTGTAGTATATCTTGACCCATTATGTTTTCCCGATCGCACGTATGAAAGTCGATCCTCAACAAATCAAGACTTATTAGACAACATTGTTGCCTGTTTTAAAGTTCTACCAAGTATCGACGTTGCCTGTAATCCTTGCCGTTGCATTTTTCTAGATTTCATTTCAGGGGAAATGGTCCATATGTTAGAATCCCACATAGAAACATTTGTAGAAAGAATGATGGTTTAATTAGATGTTAAGTTGAACTTGTCAATCCAAGTACATGATACGAGACCGATATTCACCAACTACGTATATGCACCCAAGCAACTAATCGCCAGATTCCCAAGCCAAGAAGATGTAAATCAAGCATCATTGTTTGAAACATAACAAACCCAGTAAAATTTGGCACAAAGTATAGTCTGGGGAGGGTAAGTGTACGCAGACGTTACCATTACTTGGAAGTAGAAGCATCATTGTTTAAAATAAGGAGGATAAATGCATCTGCAATTATGTGATTTATTCTAAGAGGGCAATCGTTTACTTTATCAACTGCATCTCTTGTGTAAGTTATAATAAAATACATAAATACAATAGCATTAATCGCGAAAAAAAGGCAAAATCTAGAGGCCTAATCAAAGCACATATGTGAGTATGTAACAAAGGGAACTAAGATTATAGTCATTATACATGGTGTTCAGATAAGTTGACTTACAGCTACTCGGGTTTTTGGCTATTTGAGCTTTTTAACCCCACTTTTCCTATAGCGTCTTAGCTTCTTGATTGAGACAAGGCTCTCCACGTAATAAAGAACTCCATCCAACTGCTTGATTCCAATGATCTTCCTTTCTTTTCTTTCCGGGTCATACAAGAAGGGCACGTTTGGGGTGTTTTGCACCACAATGTAACCGTTCGCCAAGCCCCAATGGTGTGAAATTAGAAAATCCATTGCGAACGTGTAGCTTTTGTTCCAAACACCGACCCCGTTTCGTTCCCCTTCAAGAATCCACACTTGGAGGCACTTGCTGAGCTCAACTTGAGAACCATACGCCAGCAATCCAAGACGCCCTCTGAAGTTTATAGCACTGTAGTGCTCCGATTCAACAGCCACAACTTCAGGGACACTGTTCTTCCGGAAGACCTCTCTACGCAAGTCAAACGATGCCACAAAAGACTTCTCATTGCCATTTCCCCTTTTGACAAGCCAATGAGTGAAACCCACCAGAGCGACATCACAATTCGCCCTTGTTATGTTATGCAAAGGGAAATCAATCTTGACCTCCTTCCAAGAATCTGAATTGAGCGAGTAGACCTCGGCCCTAGTGGATGGTCCTTCGCTAGTAGTGTTCACCACCCTCACAACCTTATAGTCATTAGAATGGGGTTCGTGCCCGAACCCGAAAGTGACTTGAACCCGTTTTCGATCTCCAATGGGTATAGAAGAACTCTTTGGGAGGGTCCTACGTTGTCTTATCGAAGGGTTCCATAGGAAACAAGACCTCCCTAGGCCCAAACAAGCAATACAAACAAGGCCATTAATGGAACCCACCACAAAAGCACCCAATTTCTTAAACTCATCGACTTGAACCACGATGTTAGGGGCCCGGACGGTGCAGAAAACCTTGAAGGGGAATTTGTTGTTCAAGAGGAGGAGGTAGTGGCTGGTGGGGTTCGAGATGGACCGGGTTAGCTGCAACGAAGCGAACCAGCGGCTCGAGATCAGATCGCGCCAGCACTTGCAGACGCACTTCAATCGGAGAAGATGCCGGACGGAGAGACGGGAGAGGATGTCTCCGACGACCTCCTCCGGCAGATCAACGAAAGTGGGTTTCAGCCTTTTGCACCGCATATTTTTTACACAAATTCCCAAATCTCTCAGCACAGAGAACTGAAAACAAAGAATCGGATGGTGTGTGAGCTCTTAAGGAAACATTTCTTTGAGACAATTCGTCGAACAACAGAGGGATGGGTATCATGAGATGAGATTAGGTTGAGCGAGTGACCGTATGTACCTCGGAATCATCCGACCAATGAACCTTGTTTCTAGCTGGGGATACCTTGACTTCCTGTTTCGGACCTTCATTTCCAAATTTTTAATTTTGTTTGTTTTGGGGAAGTAAGTTTTAATTAATAAGATGAGAGGGGGTGAAAAAACGAGATTTAACGTGAATTGGGTGGTCTCTCATTTTATTAAGAAATGTTATATAAATCCATTTGTCCCTCACTCCCTTCCCCACCACATATTTTTATTTTATTTTTAATTACTTATTTATTACTCCCTTTGTCTCCCAATTTTTGTTCACTTTCATTTCTACACACCATCCAATGCACTTCTTTAATTCATTTTATCTTGTAATTTGTATATTAAAAAATTATAGAAATTATATATTAATAATCTATATGTTAAGACAAATCAAACAAGATCACACATGACTATATTTAGGGGGGTGTATTTAATCTAAATTTTAATAGATTTTAATAGATTTTTTAGAATTCATGGACTCTGTAAAATCAATGAATTATTTTAAGTCTACGTAGAGTTCGAAAGATTTTAATGTATTTTATTCGAAGGATTTCATGTGATTTTGACATATTGTTTACAATCATGGATTATGTAAATAAACATTTTTTCTTTTTTTTCTTTTTCCTTTGAACAATTTTTCCTTTTTTTTTTCTTTTTTCTTTTTTCTTTTTTCCTTTTCCCTTTTTCTTTTTCTTTTTTCCTTCTTCCTCCCGAAGAACCCTAGCCGCCTACCTCTATCCTTCTTTTTTTATTTTCTTCTTTCTTTCCCTTCCTCCTGGATTTTGTTGATGGTTCCGCTGGGAAGTTCGGCAACAAAGTGGTGCCTCTATTTACTCACCTGAGAGAGCTCGAGGATGACGGAGTTGCTGAAGTCAGCTCCGCGGCTGCTAGCGCGGCGGGAGACGGTGGCGGCCTTGGAGAGAGCTTTAACCCTAGCGGCATCCCGCTGCAGCCGCATCTCGAAGAGGGCCGTGGGGTGGCATTCAGTGCATCGCCATAGATGCGGTCGACGTGACGGAGTTTGAGAGTCCCTGCAGTAGACAATGAAGGAGAGAAAAGTAGGTGGAGGAGTTTTCAAAAGTGGATAAAAACTAAGGGACGAAGGGATTAATTTTTAAGTTTTTTGTCCATTTATGTGGTGGAGAAGGGGGTGCGGGACAAATGGTGTACACGTTTGGTGAAAGGTGTACCCCTAGCAATTTTCAAATCTATTTCAAGAAAATTCTAAAAATAAAATAAGAAGTACTCTTGATGAACTTTCGACAAAATATGCTTTTATGGCACCTAAGACTATTGGAAATGGTCATAAAGCTTCGGAGCTTAAAATTTTTTCTCTCTATCACATAAGCTTTAACGTCCTTTTAACTTACGTAGTACATCACAATTACATTGAAAATGGGTTTGAAGATTCGGAGCTTCAAAGTCCATATCCTATCCTAAATTCTGCTCCGTATCATATATGTTCGCCAACATTAGACATTATGGGCATTTTTAAGTGTTATTTAGGGAATAATAACTTAAGTACTATTTTGAGAAACAACTTAAGTTTTATTGGTTTTTAGTGCGAATATTTCAAATAATAAATACAAATATATATATATATATATATATATATATATATATATATATATATATATATATATATATATATATATATATATATATATATATATATATATCCTCTTATATTATAAGGGCCTATGACGTTTGTTGCCGTTACTTTGGCATTTTTTCCGTCACTCTAATACGGCGCTTGCGCACCTCTTCCGTCTCTCCAATGCGGAGAAACAACATCTCCACCTCTATCTCAAAGTTTCTTTTTCCTCTCTACCTCTGCCCTCACCGTCAACCGCCCATTACCGTCACACTGATTACACAAGTGTTAATTTCCGCCACTTTTTTCTGTGGATCTGGTGTGATTCATCCAGGTAATTCTTCTCTCTTCTTCTCCTCCTTTTGCGTGTCTTCTTGTCGTCTCTTTTCTCTTCTTTTCTTCTTCGCTTTTCTTTTTTTTTCTAAGAAAAAAATCATACTTCTGTAAGCCACCATGTCTGCTGCTTAAATTTTTTTTTATGCTCAAATATTTTATAAAATTAGGTTTTGTTCTTGCATCTAGGAATTGATAATCGCTCTAATTGAAAGTGTTAAATTTTGTTTATATCTCTCTCTGCTATTTTCGTATATTCACATTTTCAATTTCTAAACCTATACGCATGCAAAAGGTTTGCTTTTAGCAATTGATTGAGGTCAATTTTCAATTTGTTCACATGCTCAATATTTGAACCTGTCTGCAAATAGAGTACTTAATTTTAACTTTGTCATATCTCTGCTGCTTAATTTCTATTCAAGAAGAATTAGAGCCTTGGGAAAACAAAAAATCTTTCTTCTTTCCCCGACAAGCCTTAGGAAAACATAAAACAACAATTGTCAATATGTAAAGGACACATAAGGTGCAAATTTTAAAAATATATACAAATTGAATATCTCAAAACCTAGATTTTTTGGCTTTATTGCAAGCTTACGATTAAATTGAGATCAATTTATCTAAACAAAATAGAGATCAACCTTTGAAAATGCACTAATGGCTGAAGTTGTTTTTCCCTTCCAATGCATGTTCAATACCAAGGGTTGGGAAGGATCAAAACTAACAAGTTGACATAAACTTCAGGACATAGTATATTCATCAGTAAAATCTCTATAATAGAATATTTTGTTAAAATATATTTAACAATTTGTGGACATTTAAATCCAGAAAAGTTCTCAAAGAACTAGAAGGAAAAAGAAGTGCTGACTTCACCACATGTCTTTAACCGCTTAAGGTCCCCCGCTTCTATACTTGTTGGTTTATAGTTCCATTCTAGCTTCTTTTTAACTTCCATGTAGAACTCATAATCATTTCTGCTTTTTTCAACTACTCGCGTAAAATAACGACCTCTAATGAATATTCCTACCCAAGCACCCTTTAACTCCAGTGTGTTTTTTTCTTTTGGAAGGCAATTGCTTTGCTACTTTTATGTGTGTGATTGCATTGGTAGCTTCTTTAACTTCAATACCTAAAAAACATCAGTATGCTCTGTACATTTCATTCTTGTTTGGGCCGGGGCAAAAAAAGGTCGTTCTCACCTTTTGCCTTTTCGCTAAATGAAGGATGCTTCTTTGGGTTTATGTTGTTTCATTTTCTTTTGTTCTGGTATACCTTTAATTTTACTGCTATCATGTTCCAAAATCCCTTATTCTAAAAATATAATTACTCATGTGCTTTAGACAGCCCCACTCCACTGTTATTAGTACTATATCATGCTTTTATTTATCCAGGACCTAACATACAAGATAGAGGGCCAACTACAACTTCAAGAGCATGGACCTATTCCATACTACATCGGATGTACTACTTGCAACCGGAAAGTTGACTTCGATGAGGGAACTACCTGTGATTGCATGCGGTGCAGAGACAAGGAAGCAACAACAGCAAAGAGGTTAATACTTTCATCATCTACAATATACACAACGCTTTCACGTGTTACTCGACTGTAACACAATAAAAAACACAGGTTTAGAATTTTTGCTGAGATAGGCGATGAAACGAGAACAATACAATTCACACTCTTCACAGAAGATTTGAAAAAAATAGCACGATCGCTTGAAATTAACACGCCATTGGAATTGATTGACACCAACATTACAACCAGCCACATACCAAAGAGGGGATAAAATATTTTCATTATTATGCCTCCATTAACTCTCTTACCAACACACAAAGAGTGCACTTCTCAAAAGAAAACAAAGAGCTGAAAACAATCATTTGAAAGCATCTGGCTTCAGCAATGGAAATACTATCCATGATGAAAATGACCTGATAACACATCACTAACCCCTATGCAGGTCATTTTCAGATTTTGTCAAATTAACTCTAGCCTTAACTGCCTGTAAATATATGTAAAGTCATGTTCACTTAACTTTTTTGTCACATAAGTTGTATGACTCTAATCATGTAAAATACTAAACCCCTCACCCCTTTTGTGAAATAAAATACGGGTTAGCTGCAGGTAAGCTCATATTCACTTGAAAATTAAACTGTATCTTAAACATCTACTCCCTCCGTTCTAATAAACACTTCCTCTTTCATTTTTTCCACTTCCAATAAAACACTTCCCCTTTCTATTAAAAAACCACTTTTACCCTTACTTTTTCATACCCTACCTATCACATCATACTTTTTCTCTAATAATCTATCCATCACATCTTACTTTTACCCATCACATCAGGGGCAAAATTGGAAATCAACTACTCCCTCCGTCCCACAAAAAAGTTCCCATTTTGAATAGTATTTAGTCAAATATTTACACGCTTTGACTACAAATTGTGAGAAAAATATATTGAATTATGAAATAAATTTTATATAATTGGATTCATCTTAGTATCTAGTTTTGATATCTCAAATTTTTTAGCATTTCTTTATTTAGATTATATTTAATTTAAGGTCAAAGTGTGCTATAAATTGACCAAATTAGGGTCAAAATGGGAACTTTTTTGTGGGACGGAGGTAGTATAATTTAACACTTCCTTATTTTTTCCCCCAAATCAAAGTGGGAAGGGTTTTTCCAAACGGAGGGAGTATAAGAAATGGAAGCATGCATTTCTTAACATGTTGGGGCAAACACACACGAAGTGTGTTATCTGATCTGCTAGTATATGTGTGTGTGTGTGTGTGTGTATATATATATATATATATATATATATATATATATATATATATATGCGAATAATTAAATAGATTGAAGGAGCTAGGTAGCTAGATTATGATGGATCGAGAGCGCGCATACATGCATGATTCTAATATAAATAATGAAAACGTAATTATGATGAATCTTCAATTCTACAATGATATTAATGCATCAATTTCGGTGATGACGACAACAACAAGAACATAACAAACCAGCACTTGGAATCGTGCAACAACATACAGGTTCTGAGCAGGGTAGATCTCTATGCCCTACTAAAAGTAGACAGACTGTTTAGCTCGCTCGAGCAAC